ATGTGGCATTCCTTGTCTTCCAATCACCATTTGACTCTATATATGCAACCAACCATGACTAAATACCTCAAGAAAGAAAATGTAAAAGATGACGAATACATAGATGGAGTCAAAATGGTGTCATGGCTTATATTTGAGAATTTGGAAAGTCATGAATATTTGCGTTTTTCAAATCATAATAAAATATCTCACCAAATATAGTGGACAAAGCAATTATGTAATGCCCATATGGTTTGATGGTCATGAAAAGGAGAATTGTAATCTCTAAATGACTTATATATGATAGATAGTAGATGGTGTCTTCCTATTCCATCTACTTCGAAATGTAATGTAGATGCATCATGGTTTGCAGATTCAAAAAGACGTTGGATGGATTTACGAGATGATAAAGTTAACGTTAGATGAATAGGAGCAAAATCATATCCCACTCTGCATACTTGTTTAGAAGTTGACGCAACAACTCTTCTTTGCATCGATATCTTAGATTTTGAAAAACCTATGTTTGAGAAGTGACTCCAAAACGCTAATACAAACACTTAAGATCATCCGTGATAGTCAAGAATTAAGAGATAGTCAAGAATTAAGAGCTACACGAGTAAAAAATTGGATCCAAAACAAAGTAATATCAATTAATGTCTTCTTTAATTTCTTTGGACAAAAAGTAATAATAATATGCATGCCTATTTGCAAAGAAAACTTCTTTTTTTGATTTACCTCTTTTTTTTTTTATTCTAGTACGCCTCTATTCATAATTTGGTAAAGAATTGTTGGTTTTTAAGTATTTCCAAGTGTTAAAAAATCCTTGTTCAGAACTCCCTTGCATGGGCTTAGAACTCTCTATTTCTAAAAGAGACTTTGGTTTCTTTGGTTCTCAGAGCAACTGGTGGATAACTCGAGGAAGAGAAGTGGAATTCTTCACTTTTCATCTTTTTAGGGTTCTTCTGGATTTCTGTTCTTGAAAGATAAAAACAAATCGAGATTTCCGTTGGAGGTTTGGGGGTTTTAAGCTGGTCGTTTTCTATGAAAGGAGTAGGGTTTTCTTTGGCAGTAGTTTGTCTTGGTATGAAG